AATTGGAGTCACGCACGCGACCTTGTTGTAGTCATCACAATAGCATGTCTCCTAGCTAATAGTACAGTAGTAGTATGTTGGCACTGCATGTTTGTAAGGCTTTTTAAAATACTTAGTTTTTTATATGCATTTAGATATATACATTATATCTAGATATAAAGTGAAAGTAATATATCTCGAAGAGCAAAATCATCTTGTAAAAATTGGAAAGGATGGCGTATTATGCTTCGTGTGAGTTGTTGTTGACCAATCGGAGGAATGTATTGTTTGTCACGCATGATTTTCAATTCCTGTGCGTGAAGGGCCAAAAGGTTCGCGTTGGGCAATATATTGTTGTGGTTTTAATTGAGCCATAATGGCTATAATAGGATACAGACTGGGCTCTATTTTACATGGGTTAATGCGTGGAATTATTTAGGCCCTCAAAAAGTTTTGACCCCAATCCAAATGGGCCTGCAAAAAAACTAAAAGGAAAAAGTCTGCATTACCTCCCTCAATTTTCGTGAAAGTCCGTTTTTCCTCCCTGAACTCCATAAAACATCTCCCTCAACTTTTAAAACCGTTCATCTTACCTCTCTGGCCTGGTTATAAGCGGTTTTGAAGGCGATTTTGTCTTTTTCTTTTTTATTTATTTTGGCTGAATTTTTGAAAATCATAGTAAATCACAGAAAATTCATAAAATGGAAAATCTAATTTTGTTAGACTCCACATGAGTACACAATAAATATATAATATGGTATGTTTTAATACAAAGTTTTTGTTGTAGATTTAGATATATGCTTTTCTGTAATTGAATGGAATAATTCATAGCTGCAATTTTTATGGTCCAATTGCGGTGAAATTTTTATGGTGAGCTAATTATTACATGCTTAAACCATAGTAAAAATTTATACTTATTGGATTATGTATAACTTAGTTATAGATTTTATTTAGGTTTATGCTTGTTAAATATAAATAAATCTATAACTAAGCTATACATGATCCAATGAGTATGAAACTTATACTACAGTTCAATCATACAATAATTAGACCACCATAAAAATTTCATCACAATTGGACCATATAAACAACAAGTATGAATTATTCCAATTAATTATAGAAAAAGATCTAAAGCCACAGCAAAAACTTTATACTAAAGCATACCATATTAGATATTCACTGTGTGGATCTACTCATGTGGAGTCCAATAAAATTGAATTTTCTATTTTATGATTTTTCTATAATTTACTATGATTTTTTAAAGATTCAGCCAAAATAAATAAAAAAGAAAAAGACAAAACCGCCTTCAAAACTGCTTATAACAGGGCCAGGAGATTAGATGAACCGTTTTAAAAGTTGAGGGAGGTGTTTTGCCCGGTTTTGGATTTCAGGAGGAAAAATGGACTTTCGCAAAAATTGAGAGAGGTAATGTGGACCTGTAACAATGTATAAAATGAATTGGGAACCCATAAATAGGCCGCTGCTGCATGGGCCATGATGCGCTTATAATACATTTTCATGAATGTTTCCTTTTCTACTACTCGTAGCTCACAAATAGAGGTTTGGGCCGTCGCCACCAGTAGTACTACTACTAGTTGGCCCAAGAAAGGGATGCCCCACCTGTCTGGGACACATTTCCAGAAGGAAGAACGCGTGCATGCAGTTCAAAACATTTATCATTTGTTTGAATAATGGACCAATAACCATTACTCATTTTGAAGTTTGTCATGGTGATCTAATATCTTTTAAAGCAAATGACGCCAATACCTGCTGTGAAGAAATAAGGAGGCTTTTCTGTATCAACATGTCAGTTGGAAAAAACATAGTCAAATTCCTATGGGTCAAAATCTGGAGAAGAACAAAACCTGAATGGTTTCGCTTACTCACAGCCTCAGAGGGGACGCAGATTATACTAATAAAATCTGGGTTTTTTTCAAGAGTTACTAGTAGGATTGAAAATCCACAAAAACCTATCGAAATTTGGCAAAAACCATCAAATCTGACAGAAATTCCAAACCTTGCTCACAAATCGCATCACATCAATTAATCAAGCCTAATAACCTAACGGAGTTGTGCAAATTCTAGGTTGGACTTTGCAATTGGAGTCACGCACGCGACCTTGTTGTAGTCATCACAATAGCATGTCTCCTAGCTAATAGTACAGTAGTAGTATGTTGGCACTGCATGTTTGTAAGGCTTTTTAAAATACTTAGTTTTTTATATGCATTTAGATATATACATTATATCTAGATATAAAGTGAAAGTAATATATCTCGAAGAGCAAAATCATCTTGTAAAAATTGGAAAGGATGGCGTATTATGCTTCGTATGAGTTGTTGTTGACCAATCGGAGGAATGTATTGTTTGTCACGCATGATTTTCAATTCCTGTGCGTGAAGGGCCAAAAGGTACGCGTTGGGCAATATATTGTTGTGGTTTTAATTGAGCCATAATGGCTATAATAGGATACAGACTGGGCTCTATTTTACATGGGTTAATGCGTGGAATTATTTAGGCCCTCAAAAAGTTTTGACCCCAATCCAAATGGGCCTGCAAAAAAACTAAAAGGAAAAAGTCTGCATTACCTCCCTCAATTTTCGTGAAAGTTCGTTTTTCCTCCCTGAACTCCACAAAACATCTCCCTCAACTTTTAAAACCGTTCATCTTACCTCTCTGGCCTGGTTATAAGCGGTTTTGAAGGCGATTTTGTCTTTTTCTTTTTTATTTATTTTGGCTGAATCTTTGAAAATCATAGTAAATCACAGAAAATTCATAAAATGGAAAATCTAATTTTGTTAGACTCCACATGAGTACACAATAAATATATAATATGGTATGTTTTAATACAAAGTTTTTGTTGTAGATTTAGATATATGCTTTTCTGTAATTGAATGGAATAATTCATAGCTGCAATTTTTATGGTCCAATTGCGGTGAAATTTTTATGGTGAGCTAATTATTACATGCTTAAACCATAGTAAAAATTTATACTTATTGGATTATGTATAACTTAGTTATAGATTTTATTTAGGTTTATGCTTGTTAAATATAAATAAATCTATAACTAAGCTATACATGATCCAATGAGTATGAAACTTATACTACAGTTCAATCATACAATAATTAGACCACCATAAAAATTTCATCACAATTGGACCATATAAACAACAAGTATGAATTATTCCAATTAATTATAGAAAAAGATCTAAAGCCACAGCAAAAACTTTATACTAAAGCATACCATATTAGATATTCACTGTGTAGATCTACTCATATGGAGTCCAACGAAATTGGATTTTCTATTTTATGATTTTTCTATAATTTACTATGATTTTTTAAAGATTCAGCCAAAATAAATAAAAAAGAAAAAGACAAAACCGCCTTCAAAACTGCTTATAACAGGGCCAGGAGATTAGATGAACCGTTTTAAAAGTTGAGGGAGGTGTTTTGCCCGGTTTTGGATTTCAGGAGGAAAAATGGACTTTCGCAAAAATTGAGAGAGGTAATGTGGACCTGTAACAATGTATAAAATGAATTGGGAACCCATAAATAGGCCGCTGCTGCATGGGCCATGATGCGCTTATAATACATTTTCATGAATGTTTCCTTTTCTACTACTCGTAGCTCACAAATAGAGGTTTGGGCCGTCGCCACCAGTAGTACTACTACTAGTTGGCCCAAGAAAGGGATGCCCCACCTGTCTGGGACACATTTCCAGAAGGAAGAACGCGTGCATGCAGTTCAAAACATTTATCATTTGTTTGAATAATGGACCAATAACCATTACTCATTTTGAAGTTTGTCATGGTGATCTAATATCTTTTAAAGACAATGACGCCAATACCTGCTGTGAAGAAACGAGGAGAATTTTCTGTATCGACATATCAGTTGGAAAAAACATAGGCAACTTCCCATGGGTCAAAATCTGGATGGTTTCGCTTACTCAAAACTCAGAGGGGATGCTGATTATACTACTAAAATCTGGGGGGGGGGGGTTGCAACAGTAACTAGTAGGATTGAAAATACATAGTTGTAGTTTGTTGGCGCTGCACGTCTGTAAGGCCTTTTAAAATACATAGTTTTTTATATGCATTTCGATATATACATTATATTTTGATATATAGTTAAAGTAATATATCTAAAACGTCTTGTAAATTGAAAAGGAGGGCGTATTATGCTTTGTGTGAATTGTTGTTGACCAATCGGAACAATGTACTTACTGTATGTATTGTTTATCTATATATTTGTCTCATGATTTTCAGTTCTTGTGCTTGATGGGCCAAAACGTACGTGTTGGGCTATATATTGTTGTGGTTTTAATTGAGCTGTAATGGCTATATATATAATGCATTACATACTGGGCTCTACTTTACATGGGTTAAAGCGTGGAACTTTTAGGCCCTCAAAAAGTTTTGAATCCAATCCAAATGGGCCTGCAAATGGGTCAATAGAAAAACTAAAAACGCTAACATGTGTAAAATGAACTGGGCCTGTAATTAGGCTTTACCCATAAATGGGCTGCTGCTACATGGGTTATGATGGGCTATAATACATTTTGGCCCACAAATAGGGGTTTGGGCCGTCACCGCCAATACTACTGCTAGTAGGCCTAATGAGATCCTTAGTTGGCCTAAGAAAGGGATGCCCCACCTGTCAGGGACACAATGTCTAGAAGAAAGAACGCGTGCTACTGCTGTCCTCTGCTAGAATCTGAGGCATATGTAAAGTATGGTAACAAGAATCCGAGGAAGGATGACACGAGGGAGATGGAATGAACAGGCTCTGCAACGCAAGCAAGGTGTTGCTTCGCTCCGGCCAACGAGCAACGCCGGCGATGCCCAACCTCCCCGTCCGTCTCACGTATTCCTTCTCGCCATGCATCCATCCTCTCAGCATGCTGCCGCCGCTAGTATTCGAATTCATAAATCCAGAGAATGCATGCGCAGACGACAGCAGCAAATCGTGACCTGCCATTGGAGACCTCTCTTCTCCTCTTGCGGAGGACCGGGCGGCAACGGCAACATGAACAGATCAAGACGCGCTCCTCGCCTCGCCGCGCTCGCTCTGTCCCTCCTCCTCTGCTTCCTCCTCTCCTCAACCCCCGTCGAGTCGGTGGGAGTCTTCACCATCATCAACCAGTGCAAGACGACAATCTGGCCCGCCGCAACGCCAGGCGACAGCTTCGGCGGCGGCGGGTTCGCGCTCCGGCCGGGGCAGTCAGCGGTGTTCAAGGCTCCAGCAGGTGGCTGGTCGGGCCGCATCTGGGGCCGGACGGGGTGCGCCTTCGACGCGTCGGGGAACGGCACCTGCGCGACGGGCTCGTGCGGGCCGTTGCTGAAATGCGGCACCTCCGGCGCCACGCCCGTCAGCCTGGCCGAGTTCACGCTCGCCGCCGACAAGGACTTCTACGACGTGAGCCTGGTGGACGGGTTCAACCTGCCCCTGACGGTGCGCCCCGTGAACGGCCACGGCGGCGGCAACTGCAGCGCGGCCGGGTGCGACGGCGACCTGAGGGAGACGTGCCCGCCGGAGCTCGCCGTGAAGGGGGACGGAGGAAGGACGGTGGCGTGCCGGAGCGCGTGCGACGTGTTCGACACGGATCAGTACTGCTGCCGCGGGAGGTTCGGCAGCCAGCCCACGTGCCCGCCCACGCCCTACTCCAAGAGGTTCAAGGACGCTTGCCCCACGGCTTACAGCTACGCCTACGACGACGCCAGCAGCCTCTTCACCTGCTCCGGCGCCGACTACATCATCACCTTCTGCGCCAGCAGGTAGACGAAGACGATCGATCGGTCGCCATTGTTCTGCTCCTCCGATCCTCTGGATTTTTCATCTCTGGATTTTTCGTGTGGGGGTGACAAGCAAGTTCCGTGGTTCTTCTGAATGTTTCAGGAAGCAACAAGCGTGCTCGTACCACAACAATCAGCTGGTTTGCAGTGACGCCAGCCGCCGGTCATGGCCGGTCACGTCCAGCCTCCTGCTTCTACTTCCCCTCGTCTTTTCGGCGCTGCAGTTTCCAGTCTGATGATCCAGGAGAAAGCACCCTGATACATGTTTTCTGAATTGTTTTCTTGTAAATCACACGACTATTGGTGATCATATGCCTGCCCCGCAGGCGTGTTCTGTAAATTTGTTATGATCTTTGCAGACACCATAAGTAGCAATTGTAAAAAATTAGGCTTGTAAGTATTAAGGATTAATTGAACACATATAAGCATACAAATTTCTAGCTACATGTTGGGTGCTTCTTCATCTTTCCACTTATTACTTGATTGAGTACAGAAAACCAAGGCTATGTAAGAGGATGGGCACCAATCAATGACCTAGGAAAAACGTTAAGCACTCAAAATCCCAATATTAACATTTCTGTCATGTTTGGTTCCCAGGAATTCAGAGAAATGGGAAAGTAATCTAATAATGAAATGGGAAACACTTTTTAGATATTGGTTTCAATTCATAAGATCTAAACAGGCTATTATAGAATATGAACTTAGATAGAAACGCACTTAGATAGCTTCTGTTCCCGGAATGGTTTAACAGGAAACAGCAAAAATGACTTGAAGGGGTTATTGGGCCACAACCTATCTGGGCTGTAAACAGATGGGCCACCTACACTCTCCGTGATCCACGGGCCATGGAACATTTTTGTTGGAGCGTGGGCAAAAAAAAAACAGTCAGAAGAGAAAATTTAATCAAGTTAGGCAGTGCCGCAGGAACATTACATACAACAAGCTTCTTTTCACTAGCTTTAGAAAAAAAAAAAGCTTCTTTTCACTAGTGGTGCTGCATACGAATCACTGTACCGATCGACTACCAATTCGTCAGAAAAATGTCAAGTGCTACCGCATTTGGGCCTAATAGTTCATTTGGCGTTGGGTTGGGGGCCTTGAGAGTTTTAAGTTCTTCTGTTGGATACAAATCTGTTGGGCTAGCGAAATTGTCCGCGCAATTATTGCAAGCTTAACCTAAAAGCTCAGTTTCAGTTATCGATAAAATAATGTGCGGAGTCGATATCCTGCATTTGTCCTATAGATAGATAGATAGATAGATAGATGCATGTAGGAACATGAACAAACCGAGTTGGGCAGATTGTCCTGCTCAGCTGGTCATCGTCATCGTCAGTGCCCGTTATCAGCTTAGATCGTAGGTAAATTGTCGTGATCAGGGTGAGCAACGGGTGGATCTCCTTAACGTAGTGGAATGGAACTGAAAATTCACAGCAGACAGGGACTTCGGAGCGACTGCGCATGCAAAGGGTTTAAGAATCTGTCAATTTATTTGTTAATAACGTGCTCATGGCCCCTCATGCATGCCGTCACTCCAGGCAATATCAAATCAACAAAGATTGATGAGCCAAGTTTAATTTGTTCTAAGAAAAGGTTTCGCCGTTTAATTTATTTAGCTTTTTTTGCTGTGTGATGTTGACATTGCAGCGTCGGTCACCTATGCTTTGATACGTTTTATTTAAGCTACCTACCTCAATAAACCCATCCATCCTACTAGCTTGTTTCATAGTGCAAACTAAAGAGATTGTTAATGTCAGGAGATGTGTTGCTCTGCATCAAAGAACAATTCTGAAAATGTTTTACAGCCCTCTTAACACATTGGTGAATTACTGATCCCTATATATAGGATGTACTATGTACATGTACTGTATGTAACACAAAGGAGCTAGCTGGGGTTGAGTGCCCATGTGTTGTTTATCACTACACTCTTCTCTGATTTGTTTTTTCAGTATCTTCTGACACTGCCAGGCCGGCAATTCAGAACCAGAACGTATGGAATCTGACGGAGAACAGTCTCTGGTTTTTTTTCAGGCACATGTGCATGGGGTCATTGGGGGTGGGTGGTTAGGAACCCAATCAACCATGAACCAGCCTTCCTCCAACCATTTCTTATTTGACAGGAAAACAAACAGGCAAGTCAATCATGCACATGAGTCAGGTGCTGCCCCTCTCTGTCTGAGCTGTCCCATGCATGGTTCATGAATATATTGTGATATATTGATTAATTTGCATTGTTATAAATCTTGATGATCATCTTGCTGCTGGCACGCTGCCGTTCAGGCATTCCCATCAGCTTTGCCACTGGCACTGCATAAGACTTTTTTTTTCTTTATTTCTGTGCTGAAACATGGGTGGTTTACCGTATGTAAAGCTGACTTTTAATTCATTTCCTCAAGGTCATGTATATACAGTGGCGGAGCACAGCACCAAATCAAGCGGGGGCAATTTCTATTGCTACAGAGAGCAATGGCAGACTTGCTAGCTCTGGACAGCTTCAGCCTGTTCGGGAGGCCGTATCGTATCGTGGATTATTTACTGCTGGCTGGTTTGGTGTGAGAGAAAAACATTGTTCCCGGCTAGAAATTTACGATCGTTTACGAGAAAACGAACAGGCCGCTTGTTTTTTTGGCCACCGTGCGTCGATACAATCGTTGGTAAAGCAATAAGAAACGAAGCCCTGGACCTGTTCATCTTCTCCAAATAGCGGCGGCAACAGTTTGATTTTTTTTTTTTGGCAGCAACAGGTAACAAAACTGCAGGTATGCATGGAGCAAGGGGGGGCCACAACCCAGTTTGGCCTCCACTACCCTCCGCCAGTGTGTATATATACGGCCAATATGGCACGTCTTTGGCCGCACTTAAACTACTCAGATCGTACTAATTAGAGAGCGCCTAATATACAATGCGCGTAAGTTGCTACCTTCAGTCGTCTGATTCAATTTATATTGTCGTATTTTACTCGGCTGTTCTTGAAATTCCTACCTGTCATGTTAGCTTTGTTTTAAGTCAAACATTTTGATCTTTAACAATATTTTTTTTAAATATATATATTTAGTTTTAAAACTATATATTATGAAAGTATTTGTCATAATAAATCTAAAAACATGAATCATATGTCATTAACATGTATAAATTTTTTTGAAAATGATGGTCAGAGTTAAATTTTTTGACTTAAAATAAATTTAATATGGCATGTACAAAAGAATAGACAGAGTACATACACTTAAAAATGTAAGCACAACTTCGACAGTAGTATAGAGATTGTAGTTTAAAGTACTCTCTCCTTTGCCATTTCATTTAGCGTGTTTAAGCTCAAAGAGAAGTCAAGCTTTATAAATTTGAACAACCGCTGGCCAAATTAAGTATGTTTACCTTTTGAGGGTAGTATATGGTACTCTGTTCGTAAATTTGACCAACGGCTAGCCAAATCAAGGTCAAAGAAAAGCTAGACTTTTCAAAGTTTCCCTAATGGTTAGCCAAATCACATGCATATTCACTAATGTGGAACTGCTAAAAGCATTTTTAAACTAGGTGTGCATTTGTTTAACTTTAGATTAATGCCGCTTTTTTAAGAGGACTGAAGCCGGAGTTTCTCATTATCCAAAAAACATACACATTCAGTGGTCTAAAGGTTGTATACATAGGTTCATATTTTACATATCTCTCTTTATGGGATTGATTCTGTAGCAACTAGTATATACTCCCTTCGTCCCTTTTTAGTGTTGTTCTCACATATCGAGACGTCAAACATTCTCAATTTTGATCAAATATATATAAGACGTCTGCGTCTCTAACTGGACCTCGCAAAAAAAATATTTATGACACATAATAAGCAGTGGAAAATCTAGGAAAACAATTTAGGAGAGACTTTTTTTTCCATTATTTATCATCTCTAGCCCTCCTTTTAAGCTTACACGGGTACTAATTTGTAGGGGGGAGGGGGACTGGCTTAGGAGAGGCTCAATGCTTCGAGTAGCGTCAGCGCCTTAGCGGGGCTTCGAGCCCACTTTGCCCCGGTGTTAGATTCGCCCCTAATAACAAGTACTATTAGATTAATTATTGAATATATTTTTTATAATACACTTATCGGAGATACAAATGTTACTAATATTTCTTATAATTCTAGTTAAACATAAAAAAGTTTGAGTAGCACGAAAATCTAAGCGACATTTACAAATGGACGGAGGGAGTATGTACGAAGATCAGTAGTGAATGGACATATTTTAGTTTTGAAGAAACCTTCTGAAATATCTATATCCTACATGATATGAAGAAAAAGGAAGGAATCACAATTATGACTTTTTGAGGGCACAACAAAGTACACTCTCTGTCCCTAATTAATTGTTGCCGTTGGTTTCCATGCCGAAAGTTTGACTCAATTTGTAGAAAATACGTGCAATATTTGTATCTCCAAATAAATTTATTAAAAACTAGACTCAAATATCTATCTAATGATATTAATTATGTACCATAAATATTAATATTATATATATATATATATAGTCAAATTTGTTTCTCGGTAAGTGAAAACGACATATATTTAGGGATGGAGGAAGTAACCACCTAGCCTCACCAAATTATTGAATTTTCTAAATAATTTTGTTGGTGGGTAAATAAATTCTAATTGTAAAAATACTAGCCAGCAACGACAAACATTGAAGATGTCAGAAATGCCAAGTACCAGTACGGTCGCAATCCAGAAACCATGCCATCCTGAGTGAAATTTTTGTATTTTGGTCCCTTTTGAAAACATTTTTTATAAAAAGACCTACGCCAAAACGTTTTCTAAAAATAGACAATTTTTAGGCGTCTTAGAACATGACGCCGAGGTATGAGGGTCGGCATCGACTGACACGACGCCGAGGTATTGCCACGTCACGGACGACCCCGGTCGACGGCTACACGGTGGCGCGTGGGGTCCGAGACGTCGGCGTCCTGTCAGCCCACGCCACGGGCCCAACCTAGGCGCGGCTGGACTGAGCACCGAGC